TTATTTATTCCATTTATAGATCAATTTCAACATAACACCTACCTTAAGTAATAAATGGTATCTTAAAATACGCTGTACTGGCAATACCAAATAAGATCCAAGAGGAAGGCGATGTCCTAATTCATTTTGCCTTTGATGTATGATGTTGGTTGACAATCGACTTTGTGTTATTTCTGATATTATGGCATCAGATCTAAACATTAATGACGATTGACAACAGTACTTACTTAATATTTTATCGTTTTCAGCCATTATTATTTTCATAATAAGATATTTTACCCATAGTAACTTACTTTTGAAAATTGATACAGTATGTCGAGTAAATAATAAACCTAAGATGGTTATTTAAAAAACAGTGAGCAATTTGTGGTACGTTATTTTTGGCCAATCCTAATTCGTTTAAAAATATTCTGTAATAAATAAATACATTCAAATTTAGAACAATGCCTGAATAATACATCAATGTATTGTATTATGCATTATTGATGTTTTATTAAATAAACATATTTTAACTTTTAAATATACATATTACCTAGGCCCCCAGACGAGTTTTCTCAGTAGACCCCATCATTCATATATACATACTAATATTATCATTATTATTATGAAATAAAAAATAAATAAAACATAATATGCATTATGCATACAACATAAGTTCTCTTCTATCAGTGATATAGCAGATAGTGGCCATTGGCTATCCTAGAAAATGAATACTTGGAGAGTGATTCTTATATGTTAAAAAAATCACCCTATTTATGTTACTGTGGCCATACCTGGGTCACTTATAGCTGACCTAGCAATATTTCTAGCTTATAATAAGCCATAGCTTACCTATATTATGTCTTTTTATAGTTTATACGAATTGCGCCTACCTATGAAAAATATATAACATAGTGACATTAACTATTTATTACCGTTCCTTTTTATAAACATTACCTAAATAATAAAAATGACCACCCTGGACCAACCAACTATAAGTAGCCAGGTAGGTAGTATATGTTATGGCAATTGGCAACACGAGCATGAACGATGAACCCCGCATAATATCCTTTCATCTCCCCTAAATCAATAAAATTTATTATAACCTTTTTTTCATATTGATGTTATATGACATCCAAACTTTACACCTTTCATAGAATAAAGATAAATATATTTTTATACTCAAAGAGGTACCTTGAAAATTCATAAATTTCCTTGATATTTCCGAATAACTGATTGCAATGTTCTTTTGACAATATTTGTTTATGCTCCCAATACTCCAAATATTCCTAGTGTATATCATGTTAAATGTTAATATTTATTTTAACCAAAAAAATATTTTTCTAAACAGTTATACTTATACATATTATTTACGATGATAAATAATTTAAAATTCAAATGACGACTATTGTTCACCACCCTACTGCGGGACTTATCCAAACTAACAAGTAATAACCAGGGTTCGAGGCAAATCATTTGTTAACTTTTTGTGTTTACATAACAGTAATATTACTATGATTATCTGTTATTACAAAATGGGCTTTTAACCGCTTCATTAAAACAAATAAATAATTATTTTTGAAAGTAAAATTGTAAATTGCTTATTTTTCTTATTTCGCTGGTTTTTATTCTTAAGCTCTTATTTGATTGCTTAATATGAAGTTTTCAAATGCTTGTTTAAGCGCTTATATAAATAATTGTATGTAATTTATTTCTCGAATCCTGGTATTAACTATAAATATATATTTTCTTATAATAATGTACAAATAAAAGCCTATTTATTCAGCGAATATTCAATAACTATATATCAACATTTTTTAGATTCTGAGTGGAACGATGAATATATTGATTTTACAATGATGTGTGTTTTTTTTTCTATAAATACCAATAAAATTTTATTTGTTGGGTAAAACAGCTTGAAAATTTAATACGAGGCCTCTGATATATTGTTACAATAGCAATTGTACAATATTTAAAATACATAGGCATAACATTTTTTTATAGGCATTTGAAGTTCGAATTTTGACAACATTTATCAAAATCTCGAAAATTATCAATCACTGTAATTAAAAAATTATAAAATGTTCAGTTTTTATAACTAAGGATTGAAAATGTAAAACAAAGATTCTCATAAATAGTTCATATTGTAACCAAAAAATCTAAAAAATATATAAACACAGTTATTTTTTACAGACATTTTAAATTCAAATTTGGACGAAATTACATATTAAAATCAGTATTAATGATTTTGGTTATTTTGTTGTAATTTAAAAATATTATTCGTCGATATTATATGAAACTAAAGAATCAAAAAATCAAAGTAATATTTATATTAAATAATAAATAATATTATGGCCTATTGGCGATTAAAAGCTTATCAATTAACAGACCGGCGGGGGGTGGATCTGTAACAGGAAACATGTAAAATAACATATAAATGATACACAGCGTCCCCGTTACATCCTATAAGTACTTAATGGATATTGTGATATGTTTAGGAATTTATTATAGACCTATGGATCAATTTATTTTAAATATTTATGTTCTTTTACCTAGAATGACACACCGTCTCCACTCAGAATCGTTTTTCTTATACAGTGATATTATATCATTGAATTCAAAATTAATACCATCCATTATCCAGTGACCCACTTGTAACCTACTGTACAGCAGAGCACCTTTTTTATATTAAGTACGATAAAAAATCAAAATTTAGATTTTGTCTAAAAATTAAATGCTATATGTATCCACATCATCCTATTCAAAGCTATATAATGTAGGTTTACAATATTTGCATTTCTCTAATTTTAAGAATAATAAAACATTTTTATCAGCGTTAATACTAATAAATTATTCATCAAACATTAAATACTTAGGTAGATAACTGTATCCACTGTTCAGTGTCACATGAATACCTAAATGGAAAATACAAAATGTATTCAATTTTAATTAATTTAAGGTATAGATTAGTTTAACAAATTATTAAATTAGTTACCTATTTAAAATTTAGGTAATTTAATATATACCTGTATAATGACTATAATCTTTAGACATATTAATAGTTAGTATATTATGTTAAAATTGTATTATAATTCTGAATTAAAATATTTAGTATAGAAGAATAATGCTTTATAAATTATAAATGTTCAATATTACACTCACCACTACTATTTCTTTCAAATGATTTACGTATGATTCTTCAGATTCCAAAATCTCAGTAATCACCAAATTTTTTTTATAAGTAATATCACAATTATTATTCATTATGCATAACTACAATACTTATTACAACATCACACCACATTACATTACATTTAAGAGTATAGGTACGCGACTGTTCTCGTGTAGTACCACCATCAGTTAAATTTTTGAAAAATAACATTATTATAATATGCATTTAAGCGTACAAGAGGTAAATAATTATGTATTTTCAAGATTACGTCATTGTTTATTTTCTATAATATTTTTTTAAATTTTTTAATGAGTAATAAATTTAGAAATTATACAGCTTTGTACCTACACCATTGTAATAATAATCATAAAAAAAATAATGTAGTTAACCTTCTAAGTTAGAAGTCATTGCAAGTAAATAATTATTATTATGTCAATAAAAAGTAAAATCAATTAAAAGTATAACATGACATCGTACCACTATAATTAGTACTCAACTTTATTTAATTATTTGTTCAGGGTAGGAGAAAATATATAGATAAATGGCTATAATTTAATACTAAAAATCTCATTAATAATATATAATAGGTATTAGGTACCTATATATAATAATCATATTCCTATATGGCTATATCCACAAAACTTTCTACCATTCGATTTTGTCGAAAAACTGGAGTGTTGCGTATAAATATAAATATTTTCGATGTTTTTTCTCAATTATTTAAAAAAATTCTGGATATTTCTACTTAAACCACAATTTTAATGTTGAAGATTTAAGCATTTTTATGCTCGAAAAAAAAAAACAAAAACACACGCCGTGGTAAGACACAAGACCGATATGAATTTATCACTCTACAGAGTAGGTACACGGTATCTAAAAGAAAACTAAAATATTGACTATACCTAGGTATTTTATAACTTTTTTATTTCACTTTTTAGATTTTAAGAGGAGAGGTAAATCTTGAACTAATGAATCATGAATGTGTATACTTCATAAATATTATTATAATTGTTGTGTAAATAATTAAATTATACAATCCGTTAACAATATATCTAGTTATTTTATACCTATATAACTTTGTTCACAGCAAGTCTCAGCCCCATACTATTCGATATACATACACACGTGGACCAAGATATCTTAGTCCGTGCATACACCACACACAACTACACAAGTGTTCTCTTAGACGATCGTTTTACATCGAAGACCGATTTATGTATCATTACACTCAAATTTGTTTCTTAAGAATAACTCAATAACATGTTTATGAAATGTACACTTTGCGCATGTATAAATGCTTGATCGTACAAGCTATAAAATCTAAAGAGGGTCATGGTTCAATATAAATATATAATGCACATATTTTCCAAAAAAACACAAAAAAAATATGAATAGGGAATCCCTATTATACTACGCGGGTTAAAGTAGCAACCCTAGCGTACGCAGCGCAGCCTGTGGCCGTTTAATCTTGCTACTCATTTCGGGACGTTATCAGAAGCGGAGTTTAGTCTCCTTCAAGGTGACAAGGTGAATTGATCCAATAATCTAAAAAGTAAAAACCTTGGGATTGATCCACCTTGGTCTCCTTATTCAAGTCTTCATGTAAAAATGTATTTTTCTATTTATGTGATAATACTTTCCTGATAAGTGGTTATAAAATAGTAAAATACCATAATATTATTGATATTACCTATGTTGAATGCCAGAAATCAGAATAGTGAATACAGATTTCATCGATCATCGTTAAGTTGTAAAGGTAAGACGTTAGAATCCGTGGCTTTACGCCAATGACTTAAAAATTTTATTTTCAGAACAAAACCAGTCGTAATACCTACTTTAAATTGTCATCATGAAAATCCCACGATTAAATATCCAAATTCGTACAATTTACACTAGCATTTGTTTGCGTAAGAAACCATCAGAACTCTACGATCAACGGGTGACTGATGGTCAATTGATCAATGATGATCATCAGCGTCAAATCGTCAAACAGCTAGATGAAGTGTATAAATCGTTAAAAAGTTATTCGCCACCATCACAAAGTGCAATTTCAAAAATGTTTGGTGGACGTAATGTGCCATTAAATGGCGTTTATATGCATGGATCAGTTGGATGTGGTAAAACCATGTTAATGGATTTATTTTTTTCCTGTTGCGAAGTAATTATTATATTTTGTAACTCCTAATTGGTACTAATTTATTTATACATTTAATCACACCATTAAAACATGTATGACGTTTTTGATAGGTATAGTTTTATTTAGAATCAATTTTCAATTGATCATTTGTTTTATATGTGTTTTTAATTTTAATTTTTTTAGTTACAATAATTAAGTACATTATTTTCAGTTGTTTATACGTAGAATAAATAATGGCAAAAGAGCCCAAAAACTTTTGTACAAAATTACTACTCAAAACAATTATTAATTACCGCACAACAGTCATATTATTATTAAATTGCAAATTTTCCAATTTTAAAGGTAGAAAAAAAACGACGAGTCCATTTTGATGAGTTCATGTTGGATATTCATAACAGGGTACATAATTTAAGATTGAGCACAAAAGACAATTTTGATGCTATTCCTATGGTTGCTGATACAATACTAGAACAATCATGGTTACTTTGTTTTGATGAATTTCAGGTATTTTAAAAAAATATATTTTTTTTTTTATCGTAGATATCAGTATATCAGAATTTTAATAATTGTAGGACTATCATGAACTCTTGCTAGGTGACTGACATAGCAAATGCAATGATATTGAAACGACTTTTCACTGAGCTTTTTGATAAAGGTATGGTTATGGTAGCGACCAGCAATCGTAAACCAGATGATCTATATAAGAATGGACTACAAAGGTTTTTGTTTTTACCATTTATACCAGTATTAAAGCAACATTCTATAGTCGTCAATTTGGATTCTGGTATTGATTATAGAGTTATAAGAGCAAAAAGTGGATATAAATCATATTTTGTGTAAGTATACTGTACACTGTATAGATTATAACTATATTATTTTTATAAAAACAATAACTTGATGTACTTTAACACTATTACTGTGTTCCATATGGTCCGTGTTCAGAATTTTCTTGTTATTCACAAAATAAAATGGTAATATGTAATTGTATAGTATAAAGTTATTTCAATAGTCATTAATAAACACATCAATAACCACCTGAAGTATCTAATATTTTCACCTATTTGGTAAATAATGGTAAAATATAACTGTAATATAGTATTGACAGTGTAAAAGTACCTTAGCTTATTCCAATTTTTGAATATGAAAAAACACCTAATAAGCATCAAAGTTTTTTGTTACTTAGTTATAAATTTGTTATTTACCGCATAATGTCTATTTATTTTTTCATAGAAAAGATGTTGATACCATAAAAGATTTTGAAAACTCCATTAAAAGTTTTACAAATAGTGAAAATGATACTGTTAGACCAAGAACATTAATTATTATGCAAAGGAATCTTACATTCCAAAGAGTGTGTGGACAAATCTTGGATGCTTCTTTTGAAGAGCTATGTGATCGGGTAATATTAAATTACACTTAATATACTTTATAAATTTACAATTATAATGTTTCAGCCTTTAGGAGCTGTAGACTACTTATATTTAGCTCAAATGTTTCACACAATAGCTATTAGAGATGTTCCTCAACTTGATTTAGATTCATTATCACCATTGAGACGTTTTATCACTCTCATTGATACACTCTATGATCATAAGGTAATCTTACAGATTTAATGTTTTAATTAAATAATTGTGATATAAAATATTTTTTTTCAGATATTAGTTCTAATATATGCAGATAAACCAGTAAAAGAATTATTTGTAGCTAAAAAAACAGGTGGATTAGGTGATGATCAGAAAGTTCTTATGGACGATTTAGATTTACAACCTGGATCGGTAAAGTATTATTATATCTTTTGAGTTTCTAATTTATTAAAAATGCTAAACACCAATAACACCATGGATAAAAGTCACAAATATGATAAAAAACAAAAAACATATCATAGTATTATAAAATAAAGTAAAAACTATAAATTAGTTGATTGAGCTTGAGTTTTACATAATTTTTCTTCTATATTATCCTTAGGAGCAGGTATGTTATAACTAAAGACTGGATTTGTATTTTCTTAAAATACCTAAAATATGATACTAATATTCTCTAAAAAACTTTCAAATATTCTCATTATATTCTCTTAAAATATGCAAGAATAATCAATAAACATTATATGCTTTAATATGCATTTAAAATTTTTTTTTCAACATTATTTTAATAGTAAGGAATTAATTAGGTATTAAAGTTGCGTATTCTAATGGAATACTATAGCAATTAGTAAGTGTGAGAAATGATAAAAAAAAAATTTTAATGTTCAAACAAAAATTTTCTGGGTACCGTAATATTAAAATTAAAAATAAATATAAATTTTTTCTCACAATTTACGAAATATTCCAAAATATTAAAAATGGGTCAAATATTCTCAAATATGCAAAAAAAACTTTTTTACGCATTCAGAATGAATGAATCGTCCACATTTTTTACTCATAAAGACTTCATAGACCCAGTAGCTATATGTAAAAACATAGAAATCCAGTCTTTATAATAGAGAATGTGTTTCTAAAGCAGAACGTGGCAAATTTTATGTACAGAAAATTATCTTTAAATATTAACTATGACACATAGACTTTTTTTTATTTTAATTTAAAAAAATGATTATTTTCAATATGACAATATGTCCTAAATCAAATATAAAAATAAATATTTTTTTTTAATTCAGGCAGTTAAAATGTTAAGTGTAGAAATAAAATTGAAAATTGGAAACATTATTTTGTTTGGGTTTTCCTTATAATTCCAGTACATGGTGGAATATAATATTACAACCAGCGATAACAGCATATAATATAATGTTTTAATGTAGTCCAAAAAAATAATTTTTTTTTTTTTATTAGACCAATGCCAAAGCCAATGTTTTTACTGGAGATGAAGAAATATTTGCATTTGATCGAACAGTATCAAGGCTCATAGAAATGCAATCAACTGACTATTGGAAAAATAACCGCTCAAAAATATAATCCTAATATAGTTAGTATTAATATTACCAATTGGTTACCATTTTTATAATTCTGTTGTGTGGTGTTTGTTATTTATTTAGTTATGATTAGTTAAATGTGAGATATAATTAGACATAATATGATTATGATTAATCACTAAGAACACACTCAACTTTTTTAGTTGTAGGCGTTTTACTATTATGAACAGTATATTATTAGGTGCCTAATAAGACATAATAACATTAGTTTAATTGTTATTATGGAATCCATATCATATCGTTATAGTTGAAAAATGCAATAAAATTGTTAACTACCTATGAAAGTATTTTAAAGCTATTGGATGTACAACCAAAAGTTGTACATGTATTCAAATAATAAATTAAAAAATAGTAAAAACTATTTTTAAAAAAACAGCACTAAAATATAACTTAAATAAATAATTATTATCATATTCAGTTGTTATTTTTTGATCCTTTTAACTTTTTCTCTTCTTTTAAGGATAGCAAATATACAGTAGTCACTTGGTCATTCAAAATTCAGGGGACAGAGTTAAAAATTCGGTTTATAGAGATTTTCAATTTACTGAGTGTTCGAATAACCGAGGGAAAACAAATTAATTTGAATTAAAGAGAGGTGAACAATTTTATATATATATTACATATTAAAGTTTAGATTAGGTAGGTAAGGTTCGATAACATTTGTCATTTATAAACTACGATAATATTTAACCACTGTCGTTATTAGTTTCATTACGAGTACGTCAAATATATAGATTGTACATGATCTTTATGTGTACATACATATGAACTTACATATACCTAATCATGTTTAAGGAAATTCGAATTATAGAGGTTTGTGGGAAAAAATTTGAATCGTAGAGTGTGCCCCACCGACAGTCATTTCGAATTATTGAGGAGACCGGAATACATGTATTTTCTTCTAATATAGAGGTATTATAGAGGTTTTCTCAGGGGACTCAGCATTTAGTTCGGTTTATGGAGTTTTTCGAATTATTGAGTGACTACTGTAATAGTTTTACCATGAAGTAGTTAACATAAATACATATCCGACTAAATATTTTCTAACCATCCAGATAAGTTAATACACCATATATTATATAAAATATTTTCTAAATAAATAAATATTTTAGTAGTTATAAATGTTTGTAAACACATTAATATACTTTCCATGTTGTAAGTGGGTTTAACTTAATGACCTCCAAACCGCCAGTGTCTATGGTTCGATTGGAACATTTTTCATTGTGAATACATTTAGTTATATTTAAAATCAATAATAAACTAATATGGTCATAGTACCTAAATACTTTTTAAATACTCATATATTTGACCTTAAACTTAAAACAAATTATTTTATTAATTATAAAGATTTAAAGCAAAAAATTGTTTTTTTTTTTTTATGCTAACATAAGATGTTCTTAAAACATTTGTTATCAATGTCTACAGATAGTTCTATGTTTAAGTTTTTTTTTTTTTTTTTTACTTTTATATAACATTACTAAAATACTTATGAATGCTGACATCAAACCTAAGTTCCAGAGTTTAAAAAAAAATTTTCTATTTGTCTATGAAATTAGAACTAAAAGTGTATTAATAATATTAGTTATTACCACCCTTTGAATAAATAATATATTATTACATAACATAATAGTATATTAATATTTTGTATATTATGTATATCTCAGATTTCTTCATCATAATTTATTGACCCAACTTTTTCTCTGTATATGGGAATTTCACTTACCAAATTTGGCTCGTCAGATTGCATTCAAGTTTTTTTTTTTAATTTCCTCATTTAGATAATATTTCTAAAAATTTAAAAGTTAAAATACAGCAAGGCTGGTTCCACGGGTTAATATATTATGTACATAAATACACAGGACACAAATTGCCCATCCTTGCTGAATAACATGAATGGATACATTTTCTGTTATGATATCATAAAAATAAAATTGGATTGGATAATAAGTTTACTTTAGAACATTGCTTTGCCAAATAAGACAAACTAATAATAGAATTCAAAAGACAATTTTTAGTAGTTGAATTTATGAATCCTCAAATCAATTTGTTTGATATTTCTATGGCAGTTGGAAAAAAACATGATGTTATACTTCAATTAGAAATACGTAACTTGCAAACAGGTCCATTTTCATCTACAAAAGTGGTTGATTTATTGTTTTTTAAAACATTATTTTTGAAAAACATCCACTTTTATGAGATTTTGCATTAAAAACGTTATCTATCTTTTGAGTGACTTACATTTCTGAATGTACGTTTTTGTATATGAAGTATACCAGATCAAAAGAAAGAAATTGTCAGTAAGTCACTTGACTTACTACAGAAATAGAAGTTTATTTCTCATTTCTTCATTCTCAGCTACACAATATCCTAAAAATGCACATAAAATAGAATTGCAAAATAAATGCTGGTTATTAATAGTCATTTTTGATGACCTCTTTTTGAGCCAGATTCTAGTTCTAAAAATTGGTACTCAAGTAGCTTTGAGTTTTCCTCCCAGACCTGGCTCTATGTAAGCAACATGTAACAGCTACACAATACAGTAGAATTTGCTTTTAATGAAGGCTGTGGCGACATATCGGGTTTAAAAATCTAAAATTTAAGGTCCAGAAAAACTCCATTTTCCATGTTTGTTATGACATTTGTATAATGAGTATGTACAGATGTAATGATGTTTATTATTGGTGAAGTTAGACTAATATTTGATCTATAAACTATAATATAAAATAATGCTAATAATCTGGAGCTCAAAATAACAGACAAAAAACATATCTAATATTTAGGATTTTTCGATGAGTTGCAAAAATGCCTTTATAAAAAATACCTATACTAAGTAGATAAATTATGGTTTGTTAGCAATACCGAATAAGTATATCCACGGTCATATAATAAATGTTGACATACGTTTACAAGTTCAATATACAATAATATTGATGAAATTAATAAGATTACAAAAAAGTGGATTAAGTTAGTATATAAACCAGTTTGAAAATCTAATGCCTACATAAATTTAACAATTAATATCATCTCTCATCAAAATAATTTATAAAAAGTTTGTTACACAGATAACTATTTTTATGTTATTATTGTTCTTTAATATTAGTAGCAGGTTTATTAACTTTTATTGTTGTGTAGAATGTGTTGAATTTTTAAATTGAAAAACAGCATGAATATAATATAGCTTAAATTTGGATTATAGATTTTGAGACTTGCCTAATCATCAAAAATGCATTGTTAAATAAATTTTTCTAATAATATAGGTGACTCAATTCTTTTATTATTAAAGTCAAGAACATATTTTTTACGCATGAAATAATAACTTTTCAATAAAAAAATATAAAATAAAAAAGAATAATGTATTTCCAAGTTTTAAGAGTTTTCAGAATCCAAGAGTTTAGTTTAATTTGAAATCAAATATTGTTTTTAGACAGAAAAAAAAGTTATATTGATCCACAATAGAAATTAGACGAATATTGCTGATAAATGTATAATAAATATATCTACTTGGGTTCTCCTCTTTTGTTATACTTGACTTAATAAATTATAATAATTTTATTTCAACTTCCTTAATCACAGCATAACTTTATTGTGGCTGTGGCGCTGCCGCAGTAGCAGCAGCTGGCTTGCTCCGATGGGTTATTGGTGTGGATGAAACTTGTTGAGAAGCTGTGTCTTTAACAAATTTTTCCACCTAAAACATTACCAAACAATCACAAAATAAATTATTATTATTATTCTAATTGAATTGATACAAGATCACAAAATAGTAGCCATAGTTGAAATTCCAATATATATATAAACCATATTCAATAGTGAATCCATCCATTTAATGAAATAAATAATTCAAAATTGGTTACTACACTTTGTCTCATATAAGAGTAACTTCAAATGTAAATGTAAATCAAGTGCCACACTCTCCGGAGCTAAATTTATTATTCATAAGCACCTAGGTTACATTTTACTAAGTATAACACTATAAAGCGATTTTTAGGACACAGGCAATCATCGTAAACAATAGCTGATGACCAAAGTCAATGAAAATTATCGGTTTATCAAGTGGGTGTGATTTGACTGGACCAGATAAAAATTGCTTGAGGCTATTTATATTGTATGAGCCAGAGCATACAACTTAAACAATTATTAAATTTATTTTGGATTCATGATCAAAAAGAAATTTTATACAAACAAAAACTGAAACATAATATCATGGACAGACGTTAATACAACTAAAATACTAGTATAATATATATTTGTAACTAAGCGCCGTCTATACCCGCCGCGGAATAAGATCATGACTGGTCGCGCAGTCAAAACAACTTTCTCCACCTTGTCCATGCGACCACTTCCAGGGGTTTCAGGGAACCAATCAAATACTTAAATAATAATACAATCAAATAGTTGTGCGAAACGGAAGCAAAACAGTCCGCCTGATGAATGATTTTATTCCGCGGCGGGTATATACTATGTTAACTAGCGATCAAAAAGACAACATTAAGTCTACTTACAATATTCTTTATGTACAAAATAGCTTTGTCCTCTTGGTTTCCAGTGCCTTTGACATTATCAGCCTTGTAAGGTGGGCTAATTATCACTTGATCATATACGACAATATTCTGCCCTTGCCAAGTTACTTCTGGAATCCTAAGTATAAAATAGACAAATATTATTTATTTATTCCTCTTTAGATAATTAAATAATTTATTATTAAAATTTTTACGTTTTAGTTATAGTCAAATACAATTTTTGTGCCTCAGGGGAAACATTGGCAGACATAGCTGATATTTGACGTTTCTTATCTTGTATTTGAGTTTTTATCCTATTATTTAACTGTAATAAACAAAATTATAACATATTTTTTAGAAATTCAAAATTTTATTATTTATTATGTAGGCGTATTGATGTAAGTCGGTAATATTACTCTGATAAAGTATTATAAAATAAGTAATTTATCGGTAAATTAATAAATATAAATTACTTTACCACTTTACCAGTGTTTTTTTATAAATCATATTTCATACAGGTGTTTCATTTACTGTTTTGGGTGTTGAAAAATAAATTTCCCAATATTACCATAAAAAAGTAATATTACCGGTAATTTACTCAAAATATCTAAAAATAAAACACTATGTAGGCGTAATTGATAACATACCCTATTTAAATTTAACGAAGGCAAAGGTGGTGGATTGAAACTGGACTCCTTTTTGACTTGTACATCTTTGGCAAACGCTAAGTTCACTATGTTGATGTTGCTTAACAATGGGTTATTATTAGTAGATTGACATTCTAGTAGTTTGTATTAAGGAAACAAACAATTAAACATTATAATAATAATTAGTACATAATATTATTAACATATTTTCATAGATCAAAATTAAACTAAGTAAATGTGGTTTATAACCTGTATATTTCATAAATTAACTATGACATACTTTATAGGAGATAAAAAACATACAATATGTAGGATAATGGATATTGAATGAATAATAAAATATTTAGTATATTTGTTACATTTAATTTATTTTGTTTAAGAATGATAGTGATGTGTGAAGTTATAAAACTTATAACAAACAATTATGAATAATCATAATACCATAAATTAATAGATTAATGCATTATGGTTTGAACTTTAAATTAAAGGACAAATAAATTAACAAAAAAAAGTATGCTATATTATGTTACACAAGTGAAAGTCGATCAATCACCATAGGCGCAATTTGGGGGGTGCTTGGGGGTGCTTAGCACCCCCAAAATTCATATTAGCACCCCCAAATTTTCAAAAGCATCTTTTAATTGTTATTGGTTATACACATATTATGTCATAGACAACAGGATAAATTAATTTCTAAGATTTGACTTATATAATAATAATAATAATAAATAATAATATAAAATACCGTTTTTCGGATGAAAGTTTAGTTTTAGCTAACTCATTAGACCAGTTTATGAAAATGGATTTTGAAAAAGGTTCATATTTCATCAATCATTACAAGGTTCGTAACTAGTAAATTATTTATAAACTAAATAATAATAACTCATTAATTGAATTCATAATAATTATAAATAGGTACCTAACAACCATGTATATAATATATTGTTGTGATTAATGTAATGTAGGTTAATTTTGTAAATAAAATAATCATATGAGGATAATATAATTTTAGGATGTTGTGAATATTGATTTAACATCATTGAAAGCAGAAATGTTGCTGACAAAAAATTGTTTACAAAATGGAAATTTGGATTTTGATATACTTGGAATAAAGAAAGTGGTGACGGAAGATGTTTTTCCAAACTTGTTTAAACTTATTCAAGTAGGATTAGCTATTCCTATAAGCTCAGCTACTTGTGAAAGGTCTTTTTCATCTATGCGCCGAATAAAGAATTGGCTTAGGACAAGCATGGAACAGTCAAAATTTACAGATTTGTCAGTTATTAATATTGAGAGAGATCTAAGCAATAAAATTTATAAAGATAAAATAATAAATAATTTTACTATGTCTCAAAGGCGTATATCTTTAGTATAATATTTAAATGAAAATAAAAAACGTATTTACCTGTAATATATATTTATTTTTCAAATATTAATAATTATTGATTAATCAGGTAGTTTTATGAATGCATGAATGGTGTTATGAGGGGGGTGTGGGGGGGCGAAGCCCCCCACGGGTTACTTTGGTTCACATAAATCTAGCACCCCCATAAATTTAGCCCAAATTGCGCCTATGTCAATCACCAACTTTGACACATACTTAATAGGTATCGATTTTATCGTGAAATTACCTATGTACCTATATTCAAATTTAATTTAAAAGAAAAAGGTCCAATACTATTTTAAAGATAATTTATATTTGTAATTTCAATATTTATAACAATAGGCAGTAAGTATGTCTATTTAACATCAGTTTCTAGAATAATTAATACTTAAGCATATCAGGAAAAAAGTATTTTACTAGTACCTACCTAGTAATAAAGTGGACAGTTATTAGAATTGCCACTACCTATGACAAAGTGCACAGGATACAGGCGAAAAATGTGACATTAGTATTACGTATTGGCGTCCAAGTGAGTCTAATACTAAAAAAAATACGCCAAACGCAATCACAATGCATAAAAATCATGATAGGTTTACAAAAACGTGTTTAGGGGTGGTCAATTTTTACAGCTAGGGTAAAACGACAGAAGCACCAGTGTGTAGGGGAGAGGCAAGTAATTTTGGAGTCCTAGGGCATACTTACATATTTCATTACAATATGAAGAAATATGGAGAATATAATATGTTGAAAATTTTGTGGGCCCTAGTCACGGTGCCTATACAGTAATACGACCCTGGGGAGAGCGGGCAACTAACGACCCCGATAAGCATAGTCCACTACAGCAACCTCTTCGAGATTAGGGGGGCTCCATGGGGTGGTAAAGGCATATTATTATGCGAATTCATGACGATCAGCGTAACAGTGAGTGAGCATGTCTCTGACAGCTTCTCGAGGGCAGCTTAAACACAGCGCGTGACCGGTGTGCTGATAACGCCGACAATCCCGCGGCACAAGCAATAGGGAGCCCCCCCTAGAGGTTACCCAGTTGACCCATCTACCTACTAGGTGCTCAAAGTACCGGTGGACGTTGGGTTTACGGAAAAGGATACTCAGTATTAGCATTTTCGTGGTGGGCTCGAACCCGAGGACCTCGCCCTCGATCTCCTCGTCGAAGCAGTTGGTGCACATGACGACGCTGCCGATGGAGAAACACTCGTTGACACCGGCCATTTTGTGTTTCCCATAAAAGTTTATAGCCATCTAACGCTTGACAAACGGGCGCGGGCACCGGACGCACCGATTCCGGAACTGACCGGGACGACGGGCAGCAACGGCGCGCGCGACTTACCGCACACGATGACGAAGAAGATGACGACGACGACGATGGGTATGCGGCGGCCGACGGACGTGCCGTGGTCGTAAGTAAATAATTGTTAACTATTTAAATTTAACTTTCGCAATTTCGCGTTCGAGTGATAGCGACGGTTCCGTGTCCGTGTGTGAGTATGAGTGTGAGTGTGAATTGTGTTGCGTGAGTGTGCGTGAGCCGTACTGCCGTGTGGACGTGTGGTAGACACGAGACGGCTCGACCAACGCTGGTACGAAACGCTTGTGTGGTTTACCGGAAATTAATTTTCGTCGACGGCTAAAAATAGTTTACGAATATCGTACGTAGTCCGCTAACTTTACGTGCCCAACGAATACGAGATAATGATAAAAAAAAAAAAATACAGCACTCACGGCAATAATGCCGTGTGTCTGAGACCTGAAAAATATGTTCGTGCGTGCGTGACACGGACCGTGAACGCGCGTGCGTATACACTTCGACACTGTGCGATGCGTTTGTGCGCTTGCGTCAGTGTTATCGTACCGGCGCGTGGTGACTGCGGGGGGGGCCGTGTTGAGCGAACGGCAGCGGCGAATATTGATAACGGGACGGATTACGGACTGCGGGTGACGTCACGTTTGCGATTGACGACGAGTGACGATTATAATTCTATTTGACATCATAATCACGTGACAATAACGCGTTTCGTCCATTTGTTATATTATTGTTAAAATATAATAATATTATTCATTATTATTTATTCCTCAATCGGCTCAATCCACTATTCCACTCCGTAATTCGTGTAATATTAATATAGGTATTATACTTTTATAGCATTTAATATTTATTACACTTATTAGTTTTGTTAATGAAATTAAATTTGTCACGTTATTGATTATTTCCAGTCGGCGGTAGTCGTGCGTGTATAATTGCACTTTGCAGTTTGCAGTTTACACTGTTGCAAGACCGTGACTGCAGACACTGCAGAGGCCAGGGGCTTTGCCGTTCCGACACTCTTGGTTTATTGGTTGGGTAATGGGGGAGATGCTTTGCATTCAGTTATTAAAATTTTGGTTGTTGACAACTTACAGAAACTCAATTTGATAAAATCAAATTTCTTTGTTAGCACACCTCGTATTAATTGCATATAATTCGTTACGATAAGTGATAACTTTTTTAGATGACTGCAGTTTTCCTAAAAAAATGATAAATTAATTTTCATGTGTTATTGTATAATGATAAATTAATTTTCATGTGATTATAATATAATGATAAATACTGTAATTATATACTACCCAGTTCTCATTGTCCCAATGTACCATTGTAATGTAAATGTACATATAGTGTCATACTTAAATACTTTCATATTGAAATAGCATATACCAATCATACTTGTTAACTATTTTGCTAAAATTAATCGGCCATACTTATTTTCATATGATACCACCTATAGAGAGGACTCCATACCCGCATGCGTTGTCTCCGTCTTACAAACGCATAACATAATGAATAGGTACCTACTGAATTGTACGTTCTGACTTCTGAATAATTGACTTAACACTTAACACAGTCTGTTAAGCGGTTGTAACTTATAAGATGGAAACACGGGGACAATATTCTGGTCAGTGGCTTACCGATAGGGTGGATAGATCCATAAAGATATCTTTAGGATAGGGGACATGACCAGTAGCGTATTTAGGGGGGGTCCTATTCTGAGTCCTCAGAGGGGCGCCGTCACTAGAGGTTAAATTGTTTTCATAGTGAAGTGATAACAAAAAAAATTATTTATTTTATTGGATTTGTTGAGATATTATATTTGTGATGTCTGTATCTTCCTTATTATATCTTTATACATTTCTATACATATTTCTTTACATATATATATACATATAATGTATTTTATTATATTGTCATATGTACAATTTAGAAAAAAAAGCCTAAAATCTAAAATTATAATTTGTTATATTTCATTATAACTTTTTTATTAGGAATAAATTGAGTGATAATGGTAAAATAAAAGTGTTCTCTAAATTAGTGGAAGCATAAATGCAATAAGGGGAAAATATACATTTTGGGTTATAACTTTAAATGGAGAGAAAAAATAAATTGTCAAATTAGAGGGATCTTAAAATTGTTTTGTGACAATTAGTATAAAAGGAAACTAAGAAAAAAAGGGGCGCCTAACTGTGTTTACCTAGAGCTCCAAAATCGTAAATAGGCCCCTGGACATGACAAACAATAAGCCACGAGCCCATGACTCTAAATGGCGCTTCCAGAAATTATGTCACAAATCCGAATAACAAATCACTATTAATCAGTGCTCGAATTGGAAATATAATAGAAGGGGTACTAAAGGACTTTTAAAAATTTAGCGTTCCACTCAATGATTTAAACCAAACTAACCAGTGGGGGGCTTCGCCCCCCACACCCCCCATGTAGTATTTTCAACACAAATCAAACAATCATTAAAATTAAACAAAGGTTACACTACAACAATAAATAAATATTATTAAATTACAAACAAATCTTTTATTTTATTTTAAGATATTTTATACATTATTTAAATTTTTAATATATTCCATAGCTCTACATATGAATGGTTCTCTTCAATATTTTGAACTATACATAGGTACTGTTTACAGTGTTACCGACATGTATCCGATAACATGAATTTTTAATTTTAATTTCGATATAATATACATTATTTATACACATTATTAGCAGTGTTCGGACTTATCTAGATATTTTTTTCTCATCTTTTATCTTATCTAGATAAATAGTTACAAGGTATCTAAACAGTCATCTTAGATATTTTTTTTACTAATCTAAATGAATTCATCTAGATAGATTTCCTATTGATAAAAATCGCGAAATTAAACAAACGCATTTTTAATTTTTAATTTTTATTAATTTTAACGGTTTATTTGTTATTTCATTAACAAATAATAATAATTTTTACATAATTATAATAAAAAATACATGAAACATTTAATCTGGTTGTGCTATATCATGCTATAATCTATAATTATTATAGTTATTTAATTATGGTATAGTATAATATAGCTAGGTATTAGCTATAATGCTGTAGACTGTATGGCAACAGTAAATAGAATAATAAAATAAAAACTATATTGTTTGGTCAGATTATTTTAAATCCATTAAAAAAAAGGTGGGCAAGTGGGTGTCGCTCTGCTGTACAGTAGGTTACAAGTGGGTCACTGTATAATGGATGGTATTAAATTTGAATTCAATGATATAATATCATTGTATAAGAAAAACGATTCTGAGCGGTGACGGTATGTCAGTCTATGTATAAGACATATTATATACATATCTATGGTATTAAACAAAAAATTGACCTATAATAGGTACCTATAATAAATTCCAAATTAATCATATCACAATATCCATTAGATACTTATAACACGTTATACATCAACAAAAACCGTGATACTATCATAGATATATAATAGTACACTTTAGAAGTTTCAAGTACCCACGAATAATATTATTCAATCCCAACAAAATAACTAAAATAGTTATTCTAGGTTTTTTAATATGTAATTTCGTCCAAATTTGAATTTAAAATGTCTGTAAAAAATAAGTGTGTTCATATATTTTTTAGATTTTTTGGTTACAGTATGAACTATTTACGAGAACCTGTGTGTTGAATTTGCAATCCTTAGCTATAAAAACTGAACATTTTATAATTTATTAATTACAATGATTGATAATTTTCGAGATTTTGATAAATTTTGTCAAAATTTGATCTTTAAATGCTTATAAAAAAAAACTGTGCCTATGTATTTTTAATATTTTTCAACTGCTATTGTAACAATATATCAGGAGCCTTGTATTAAATTTTTACACTTTTTGGCCCAACAGATAAAACTTTATTGATATTTATAGAAAAAAAAACTAAAAAAAATTGAAAGCTGTAAATGTCCATAAACATCTCAAAAAGAGTTAAAATATTTTCAAAATTGTATGGTGTATAGAAAATGCTAATTTAAACATTGAGTGAAATTTTCATGTATCTACAGTTGTTCGTTTTTGAATTGCAACAAAATAAGGAAATCGCTACATGAGTAATCGAGTGAATATCCAATATTGTAAAAATTTGAATTTCAAACGCTCATAAAAATTTAACTTGACTGTCCGGTAGAGATTTTTTTATTGATAAAGGTAGATAATCTTATAAGGAATCTTGTGTTTCATTTTCAAATCTTAGATTTAAAAAGAAAAATTTTTACGAATTCTTAACTCAAAATAATTTGCTAATTTTCGTGATTTTTCCATATTTTGTAAATTTTTGAACTTTAAATGCTTATAAAAAAAAATTGTGACTAAGGATTTTTAATATTTTTCAAGTGCCTTTAAAACAACATATTAGGAGCCTTCTATTAAATTTTCAAGCTTTCGCAACCAACAAATAAAATTTTATTGATATTTCTAGAAAAAAAACTAAAAAAAAATGAAAAATGAAAATGTCCCTAAACAGTTCAAAATAAATCAAAATATTTTGAAAATGTTATCGTGTATAGAAAATGCAAATATAAACAACCAGTGAAAATTTCATGTATCTACGGTCATTTGTTTTAAAGTTACACCAAAAACCAAATTCGATTTTTTGGAAAATCGATTTTGCGTAAAAATTCCCGTTTTTCCTTAATTTTTATGTTGTTTTTCCCGACGCTTGTGAAAACTACTGAGAAATTTATACTTTTGACCCCCAAAGTACCAACTAGATTCACTTTCCTATCAGAAAAGCTACTATTGAAGAAAATCGAAGCACTTTTACTGTCCCAAAACGTGATGACAGACACAAAAATATAAAAATATAAAAATATAAAAACACACATCATTGTAAAACCAATACATTCATCGCTCCGCTCAGAATCTAAAAATTTTATCTTTTTTATATGTAGATAAA